CTCTCACTCCGCCCCACGACTCCCCCCAGTTCTGCCCCCCACCAGGCCTGCTGGGGCCCCCTCACTCAGCCCATGCCCCCCCACAATGCCTGCTAAGATCCCTCACTCTGACCCACAGCCCCCTCCTCCAGTCCTGCTCCCCACCAGGCCTGCTGGGGCTCCTCACTCCGACCCCCAGACACCCCTCAAGTCCTGTCTCCCGCCAGGCCTGCCGGAGCCCCTCACTCTGCCCCAAAACTGCCTTCCCCCCTGCTCTTCCAGACCCCCTCTCCCTCCGCCCCAGAGCCCTTTCTCCAGTCCTGTCCCCTGCAAGGCCTGCCAGCAAATGCCCAAAGAAAGTACAAATGTGAAGGGAATATGGAGCTAACTTGTGTATGAACCAGACAATTCTGGATAGAGGAAAACAGGATTTTTCTGGACATAAGAAAGACCAATGCCTCAACCCAGTTGCATTCACAATTAGCTCATTAGCATATCCCAGGCTGTGGGGTCAGATCAATCCAATTTGCATTCTGAAATTCTCCAAATGTCATGCTGTTGTAATTGTAGGGGTCCTGACCCAAAATGAAGTTGTGTGTGTATGTGTGTGTGGGGTCACTCGGTTATTATATGAGGGTTGTGATATTGCTATGCTGACATGGCCTTGCTGGCAGCAGCACTGCCTTCAGAACTCTGTCGCCACAGCTGGCCATTGTCCTCATGTTAATTCTGCTCTCTGCCTTTCCCTTCTCTGCTGATGGATTTCACTTCCAGCCTATTGGGAGCACAAGAGCCGGGGTGTTACATAGCTCTAAAATTGCTTCCCAAGTTTGTACCTTTTGGCAGAGACCCCCATGACTGCCTTTGGTGAGATGGTCTGACAGATCATTAGGGTGACCATATAGCCTGAGATGAGGAGGTTTGTACAAATCTACGTTCCTCCCAAAACAGTCATCTGAGTTTTCACACTGGCTGTCTTATACAACAGTTCTGGTACTTCTACCAGTCCCAGGCCAGGTGGCTCCTTTCCCTTCTCAGTGGCAGAGTATTCTCTGGGCTGGACAGGGTGTCTGCTGGGACCTTGCAGGTAAATGTGGGGCCAGAGCCACCAGGAATCATTTTCTTCCTGGCTCCTCCTCTGCCCTAGCTCCCTTCCTGGGCTGTTCCACTCCCTGGTATTCTGGCACTTCCTTTGTGAGGATTCCACCACTGAGTAGATGGATCTTTGGGTGTTCCAGTCTGGGGAGTTCTATGTTGCTACCTCTTTCTATATCACTGGTCTATGTTATCCCAGCTATATGAGTGTCCATGTGATCCCTTAGTCTGAAAACCTTTTTGAGGCCTGTCTGCGCATTGCAGAGCAGAGCATGTGTGTGTAAAGCCAACAGACCCCGGCACTCGGCAGGTGGGATTGAATCTGCGAGTTTAGAGGCTAAATCCATGGGCATCTACAGCATGAGTTAAAAGCCAACTGGCTCTCAGCTAAGGCTGTCTAGCAAGGCTTCTGGCCCATGAAAGCTCATCACCTAATAAACCATCTTGTTAGTCATCACCTAATAAACCATCTGTTCACCTAATAAACCATCTAATAGTCCTGTTTTTTGTTTCAGCTACACCAGACTAACACAGCTACATTTCTATCACTAGCAAACTTCAGTCTCCCTTGCTAGTGTCTCATTGCCTCTGGGTTACATATGTATAGATTTTTAATCTTACCAGATATAGGAGAGGGGGGATTATCTCAGAAAGGTGTTGGTATTGAACACCAGAGGCTGCGAATCTACATCTGAATAGATTGTGAAATTGATGTGTGAATTTTTCATCTCAGCTCCCTCACTCTCACACTTAAAGAGGAGGAAGAGGAAGCCAGGTTTTAATTAGACTAAACTTGGTATGTGGTAGGAGCTAGAGATACTCAGAGACCTAATGCTGACTTGAGTCCTTGTTATAAACCCTGTTCATTGCCCCAACCCTCCCAAGTTGTCTACTGGTCTGTCATGGAACCACTCTATTCCTTTCTACCAGGTCTTTCTGGGGTGCTGCACAGAAAACTGATGAAGGTCAGAGTCCAAACAGTGCTGGATGCTGCACAAGGGCATAATGAGAGAGGATCATTGCCCTGAAGAACTCAGTCTAATTGGACACAGGAAAGCTAATTAGCCTTAGCTGGGGAAAGCTGAGCTCTAGAGAGATTCAGGCCCTGTCTGCACTGTGAAGGTTTGGTGACAAAAGTCCCGTTGACATGCAAAAGTTGCCAAAAGTGAAAACCCATCAAACCATTTCTTCTGCCTCTCATTGTGGACATGTTTTAGCCACATTGCTAGCACCCTGACGACAGACAGAGCAAAGCAATGTGGATAAACATCCCACAGGGCGGTGTTGTGGAAAGGCAGAGCTGATCCCTGCACTTCTTGGGATTCTCTTGTAACTCTGTGAGCTCTCTGTGCTGAGGAATATCAAAACAGCACAGCAGTCTCTCTTGCCCTCCCCCTGCAGAAGCAGTAGTCTGCTAGTGCAGGGCCAAACAGGAGCATTTGAATGATTTGATCTTTGTCTGTTCCCCAAATGGAGCACCTCACTCAGCTGTCAGATACTGGATCTTTGACAGGGGAGGGGCACATGTCTGCAGGGCAGCAGAGATCACAAAACACTGAGCACAACTATCAGGGCAGGCATTGTGAGATATTGGCAGAAGTCAGTTCTCTCAACAAAACAAACATCAGAGTCCACACTGGCTCTTTGTTGACAATAAAGGGAGGGAAAAAGACAAGTCTCTCATGGGGTGAAGTGTTTTTCCTGACAACAGTCACACCACAGTGTAAATGCTCTCACTGTTCTTGTGCCAAAAGGCAGGTTTTGACAACAAAACAGTCCACTGTAGACAAGGCCTCAGTAACTTTTGCAATCTCATACAGGGAGCCAGGAGCAGAATGTAAATTCCTGAGTCAATAGGGACGGTGCCCTTTCTATAGGGTTATCCCATTCTGGCCTGTAAGATCTGTGTCTTGTTCCTCAAACTCTATGCACCCAGGTTTTGGATTGATTTTTGATGTGAGAGTTTTGGGAATTCCCCTCATAGTAGGGTTGAATGAGAACCAGCAGAGGGATCCCAGTATAATGGCTCAGCCCAAAAAGCATATTGTTGTTGCCGTGAGGCTTAAGGGCACAAGACCATGACTGAGGGCCCCGTTGAGTGTTGTTAAATGTGGAACAGGGAGTTGGCTCTGTGAGTGATTTTGCTACTTTCCCATCTGTGGTAGCTGGTGCTGAATCACGTGCCTCAGGATTCCAGAGAAATGGTGCCAGCTTCTTTGAATTTGACAGCAGCAGTCTGGGGGCAGGGCGCAAAGACCAGCTTCTGGCCCCAGATCTGAGTGGGGGTGCACAGGGAGGAGTTTCTGAGCCCTGGGGTCACCCCCCCACCATCGAGCTGGAGGGGAGAGATTATGTGGGAAAGGAAGACCCAGAGGCTGGCCAGTTGGCTCTGCAGGGGTGAGTTCTGTGGCCTGTGACTCCCTGCCAGGTCGGCAGTTCCGGGAAGCAATAGCTGGCCAGGAGCTCCAGCCCTGAGCTTGCCAGCACTGGCTCAGCCCTTCTCTGGCAGCCCAGGCCTGCCAACTTGTGGCCCTCAGATGGTGCCCCCCAGCCCTGGGCATGGTCACTCAACCACAAGGCCCTGCAGGTGGGAACTGGAAAAATTAGAAGCATCTCTAGTTCCTGCTTTTTTCTGAACTGACCATTTGTCCTCTCTGCTTTCCTCTGGACCATGGAGTGACTGGGCCTCAGCTGTCTCTAGAGGAGGGAGGATGTTTATACAGGGTAACTAGCCCACCACTGAGATACACCTGCATTTGGGGTGGGGCCAGTGCTCCCTGTAAGCTGAGCGCTTGGAAGGCTGCCCAGGTGAGATTCCAATGCTTCCTGGCTTATTGCAAAGCTCCCACCACTGGCACATGTGTTTCTATTGGTGGTGCACATCCACACATGCTGCAGTGCACAGAACAAAACTTATTCCACATAGGGACGGACAACATCGGAAGGAACATTGGTTGGGGCTCAGGGGTTCCTCACCTAGAGCTGAGCTAAAGTCACCAGCAGGGCAGGGCACAGGGGCTGGCTTGCCTCCCCCAGCAATGCAACCTACAAGAAGTGAACCCAGTTTGCTGTTGAAACTTACCCTGTTCCCTAAGTTTCCTCCATCCTGGTCCCGGCCTATCAGAGCCCTGCTTCTTTGTGGGAATGGCTGGGAGGGTGAAGCTTGTGCAGTGGTCATCCCTGAGTGTAAAAAAGTATGTTTGTGGTTGTCTTAGTGCTGGAAAGTGCATGCAATCATGTAAAATAACTAGCTGACCACTGGCCAGGGTGGAGTTCAGGTCATGTTTGGTCGGTGTTTTTTGTTTGTTTGTAGCTGTGTGTATCTCACTACTTTGAGACGCTCAGTTATTTGTTCTTTTCAAGTAATGCTAACTGTGGGGATTTCATATTTTTGGATGTATGTTTTATTTTGTGCCCCTTCAAGATTTTTTTGCCCCAGTTTGAAATCTGCATCTGTGAACATATCACAACAATCTTTTGGTGCCTCCTAACTTCTGAATTTGTTATATAATTCACCATTTTATGTAAATAATCAAATGCTGACAAACTACTGAAATAAAATACACGTACAGACAAGTAGGCCTTTCCTCCATGCCTCTAGCACTAAGAAAATTACACAACCGAGAATTATTCTAAGATTCTAGGGGACAGGTTAATGAGGCTCCTTTAAACGTTTTCCTCTCCCGGCTGATACACCAGACTTCCATTACAAGTATTCCTTTCTATTGCTGTAAGCCTATGTTTTATTGCTATCATCCAGACAAAATAAAGAACAAATGTTTTTTACATATTCTAAATTAGCCAGAAAGAATACCACAGTATCAACAAAACATTCTTTCAGGTGGAACTGATATCAAGCCTGATATTTTTCCAATTCATGGGTAGGTAATAACTGGCCTGTGGGCTGGACATGGTTAGCCAGGGTTATCTGCTGGTGGGCTTCCAGATGCTGTGTTTACTTGAGTGTCCCCAGGTGTGGCCACTCACAGCTCTCAATGGCTGCTGTTCACCATACACAGACAATGGGAGCTGTGGAAAGTGGTGGGGACTGGACCATTGCCTTCTGCAGCTCCCACTGGTCATGAATTGAAAACCACAGCCAATGGGAGCTGGGGGTGGGGAGGAGGCTCCATGTGTGTGGACACTTGGATAAACAAAACATCTGGCAGCAGCTAACTCTGGCAAGCCGTGTTTGGCTCACAGGTTGCTTACTGACCATCTCTGTTCGAACTCTTTTGCTTTATTCTCAAGTAAAAATTATATGTATTAATTGTAATAAGTCTCTGCACAAATGTAAAAGATTGAGGTCTGCTAAAATCAAAGATCCTGCAAAATTGAGAAACATCGGATCCTCGAGAATCTTCACTTCATTTGAAATCATATAGTTTGCAATAAACTAAATTGGGCTCTTCAACCCTTGCTAAGTATATGAACATCTTTTATTTGGGATAAACAGGTCCAAAAAGTGTTTAGATTTTTCCCTGTATTAGAGTATTTTGTGGTAAATGTCCATATTATCTGGTCCAAAAATGAGAGAGAGCGCTATAATTTCAGAAGGCTCGAGATCTTCTGTTCTAATAAAATACTTTATTCTCCTCCAGGTTGGTGGTGGAATGTTTTGTTTGCCTTCATCAGTTTTTCCTTTGCAGTAGACCAAATGAAAAGCTCATTGGGGTTGAGTGTATTTCCATCAATTTCAGTGATTTTTGATCTGAGAAGTGTACAAGTATGTTGTGTTTCTTTAAACTTGTATCCCCAAGACATTATTAGTTTGTTTATTTACTAGATGGTTTACCTGGCATTGTTTGGGTCTTTAACTCAATTAATTTGGGGGTTTTGGAAAATAAAATGAAAATGTACATTCTTAATTTAAATCATTGCTCTGGAGTGGGGCCATAGATGAGAGATTCAGGATGCAGGCTGCCCCAGAGGGAGAGAGGACTACCCTAGCCCTTTCTCACCACAGTAGCTTGGGACCAGGTGAGAAGCGCTTCTCCATGGCTGCTTCAGGGAAAGA